GTAAGGGGAGAGCTGGAGTAGAGGAGGAGGGAGAGTAGAGGGAGAGCTGGAGTAGAGGAGGAGGTGAGAGTAGGGGAGAGCTGGAGTAGAGGAGGAGGTGAGAGTAGGGGAGAGCTGGAGTAGAGGAGGAGGTGAGAGTAGAGGGAGAGCTGGAGTAGAGGAGGAGGTGAGAGTAGAGGGAGAGCTGGAGAGCTGGAGTAGAGTAGAGGAGGTGGAGAGTGAGAGGGAGAGCTGGAGTAGAGGAGGAGGTGAGAGTAGAGGAGAGCTGGAGTAGAGGAGGAGGTGAGAGTAGAGGAGAGCTGGAGTAGAGGAGGAGGTGAGAGTAGAGGAGAGCTGGAGTAGAGGAGGAGGTGAGAGAGCTAGAGGAGAGCTGGAGTAGAGGAGGAGGTGAGAGTAGGGGAGAGCTGGAGTAGAGGAGGAGGTGAGAGTAGAGGAGAGCTGGAGTAGAGGAGGAGGTGAGAGTAGAGGGAGAGCTGGAGTAGAGGAGGAGGTGAGAGTAGGGGAGAGCTGGAGAGCTGGAGTAGAGTAGAGGAGGAGGTGAGAGTAGGGGAGAGCTGGAGTAGAGGAGGAGGTGAGAGTAGGGGAGAGCTGGAGTAGAGGAGGAGGTGAGAGTAGGGGAGAGCTGGAGTAGAGGAGGAGGTGAGAGTAGGGGAGAGCTGGAGTAGAGGAGGAGGTGAGAGTAGGGGAGAGCTGGAGTAGAGGAGGAGGTGAGAGTAGGGGAGAGCTGGAGTAGAGGAGGAGGTGAGAGTAGAGGGAGAGCTGGAGTAGTAGAGGAGTAGAGGAGGTGAGAGTAGAGGAGAGCTGGAGTAGGAGGAGGTGAGAGTAGAGGAGGAGGTGAGAGTAGGGGAGAGCTGGAGTAGAGGAGGAGGTGAGAGTAGGGGAGAGCTGGAGTAGAGGAGGAGGTGAGAGTAGAGGAGAGGTGAGAGTGGAGTAGAGGAGGAGGTGAGAGTAGGGGAGAGCTGGAGTAGAGGAGGAGGTGAGAGTAGGGGAGAGCTGGAGTAGAGGAGGAGGTGAGAGTAGGGGAGAGCTGGAGTAGAGGAGGAGGTGAGAGAGTAGAGGAGAGCTGGAGTAGAGGAGGAGGTGAGAGTAGGGGAGAGCTGGAGTAGAGGAGGAGGTGAGAGTAGGGGAGAGCTGGAGTAGAGGAGGAGGTGAGAGTAGAGGAGAGCTGGAGTAGAGGAGGAGGTGAGAGTAGAGGAGAGCTGGAGTAGAGGAGGAGAGTGAGAGTAGAGGAGAGCTGGAGTAGAGGAGGAGGTGAGAGTAGGGGAGAGCTGGAGTAGAGGAGGAGGTGAGAGTAGAGGAGAGCTGGAGTAGAGGAGGAGGTGAGAGTAGAGGAGAGCTGGAGTAGAGGAGGAGGTGAGAGTAGGGGAGAGCTGGAGTAGAGGAGGAGGTGAGAGTAGGGGGAGAGCTGGAGTAGAGGAGGAGGTGAGAGTAGAGGGAGAGCTGGAGTAGAGGAGGAGGTGAGAGTAGAGGGAGAGCTGGAGTAGAGGAGGAGGTGAGAGTAGAGGGAGAGCTGGAGTAGAGGAGGAGGTGAGAGTAGGGGAGAGCTGGAGTAGAGGAGGAGGGAGAGTAAGGGGAGAGCTGGAGTAGAGGAGGAGGTGAGAGTAGGGGAGAGCTGGAGTAGAGGAGGAGGTGAGAGTAGGGGAGAGCTGGAGTAGAGGAGGAGGTGAGAGTAGGGGAGAGCTGGAGTAGAGGAGGAGGTGAGAGTAGAGGGAGAGCTGGAGTAGAGGAGGTGAGGTGAGAGTAGTAGGGAGAGCTGGAGTAGAGGAGGAGGTGAGAGTAGGGGAGAGCTGGAGTAGAGGAGGAGGTGAGAGTAGGGGAGAGCTGGAGTAGAGGAGGAGGTGAGAGTAGGGGAGAGCTGGAGTAGAGGAGGAGGTGAGAGTAGGGGAGAGCTGGAGTAGAGGAGGAGGTAGAGAGCTGGAGTAGAGGAGGAGGTGAGAGTAGGGGAGAGCTGGAGTAGAGGAGGAGGTGAGAGTAGGGGAGAGCTGGAGTAGAGGAGGAGGTGAGAGTAGGGGAGAGCTGGAGTAGAGGAGGAGGTGAGAGTAGGGGAGAGCTGGAGTAGAGGAGGAGGTGAGAGTAGGGGAGAGCTGGAGTAGAGGAGGAGGTGAGAGTAGAGGGAGAGCTGGAGTAGAAGAGGAGGTGAGAGTAGGGGAGAGCTGGAGTAGATGAGGAGGTGAGAGTAGAGGAGAGCTGGAGTAGAGGAGGAGGTGAGAGTAAGGGGAGAGCTGGAGTAGAGGAGGAGGTGAGAGTAGAGGGAGAGCTGGAGTAGAGGAGGAGGGAGAGTAGCTGGAGTAGAAGAGGAGGTGAGAGTAGAGGGAGAGCTGGAGTAGAGGAGGAGGGAGAGTAAGGGGAGAGCTGGAGTAGAGGAGGAGGTGAGAGTAGAGGGAGAGCTGGAGTAGAGGAGGAGGTGAGAGTAGAGGAGAGCTGGAGTAGAGGAGGAGGTGAGATTAGAGGAGAGCTGGAGTAGAGGAGGAGGTGAGAGTAGAGGGAGAGCTGGAGTAGAGGAGGAGGTGAGAGTAGGGGAGAGCTGGAGTAGAGGAGGAGGTGAGAGTAGGGGAGAGCTGGAGTAGAGGAGGAGGTGAGAGTAGAGGAGAGCTGGAGTAGAGGAGGAGGTGAGAGTAAAGGGAGAGCTGGAGTAGAGGAGGAGGTGAGAGTAGGGGAGAGCTGGAGTAGAGGAGGAGGTGAGAGTAAGGGGAGAGCTGGAGTAGAGGAGGAGGTGAGAGTAGAGGAGAGCTGGAGTAGAGGAGGAGGGAGAGTAGAGGGAGAGCTGGAGTAGAGGAGGAGGTGAGAGTAGAGGAGAGCTGGAGTAGAGGAGAAGGGAGAGTAGAGGGAGAGCTGGAGTAGAGGAGGAGGTGAGAGTAGAGGGAGAGCTGGAGTAGAGGAGGTGAGAGTGCGAGAGGTGAAGTTGACAAGTGGGAGAGGGAACCTTTGGATGAGAAAAGGTGGAACATTGCAGATAACGTAGAGAATGACGCAGGCTCTTCTCAGTGACGCGTCTGTGTCTCTTGTTTACAGAATGAAGCAGGAGTGAACTAGACTCCATTTTGTATTGTGACGATAATCTCTTTCAAGAGAGATTGAGCCTGCTCTTCCCTACATAAAGTTACTTATATATATATATATATATATATATATATATATATATATATATATATATATATATATATATATGTATATATATATATATATATATATATATATATATATATATATATATATATATATATATATATATATATATATACAACAATAAGATGCTACCTTCAAGATAAGTCTACCAGTAGCACAAAACGTTTTGACCAGGAGGCAAACGTACCCTAAACTCCCCCCTACTCCACACTCCCTCCAAGCCGGCTCGCCACCGTCATCAACCAGCAAACTACCATTCCCAGCCTGCCTGCTTCTGATTGGTTACCCGCCGACTGCACACCTGCACCTCTGCACCTCACCACCCTCTACTTAGTCGATGTCTGGGCTTGAACCAGTCATTGAAGTTAGAATATCTTGTGCTCTCTGTTACGTACTCCTAGCTGAATACGTATATAAATTTAAAATAACTTGTTTTGTTCCATTATATCATTGCCTGTATATGTACACATATTGTGTTTTTGTAAATTATCGTGTGGTGTGGCAGCATCAGTGGGGACAGGAGCGCGGTGGCTCTTCACACGTCTAATACCTGTTAGATTCGGGAAATTAGAATTGCTGGACCTGTTCAGACAGGGAGTTCCAGATGTCACTTTTACTAAGTTTATATAATTGTTTATTTACTGTAATTAAGCAGGTGGCATTGTACTTATATATTTTGAAAGTAACTATTATATTTAATTTGCATTCTTATGTGGTTTGAGAACAAGTGGTTGTTCAATTAGTTTTAAATATTAAAAAGTCTTTAGTTTCCATCCCTCATCCTGGATGAGGCAGAGAAGGAGAGGATTATGAGTAGCGACAGAGCGAGAGTTCAGTAGCTGATACGGGTCAGGAGAGATCACATCTTTGTAGAGTTAAGTTTGTAACATTCATGTTGTGCCATATGTTATTATATTATAATCAGTGGGAGACAATACTTTTTGTTTGGTTGTATAAGTTAACTTGACCATCTGTGTTTTTATATTATACTGTATTCAATATATATATTATAAGTTATATGTATAATTCTTCAGTCCTAAAGGAAAAGTTTAACAAAGTGCTCATTACTTATTAAGGGGTTACACTGGTGACCCGCTCTTGTGAACAGCAATTTTAGTAACCCTAGACCTTTTTTAAAGTTGACTGTTGTAGGGTCACGAGCCGTAACGAACGATAAGTAACACTCTCAAGCTGTGAACAACTAACTGATATACGCTCTGTCTATCAGGTGGATGTTTCTCAGCTAGCGCTATATTCTCAGCACCTGCTTATTTCATTTTGTCTTTATATTATAGAGTGACGTCATCCCTGTTCTTAATTTTTATGTTATATTTTTTGACTTGTTTGTTTGCACTGTACATAGCCAAGGAATTGTCTTTGTTTTTAATTTGCTTTCAATTTAATCAAAGTTTCATTATTCATACTATGTGTTTTGCGTGTATTCCCTTACTTTACCACAGACAACAACCAAGCAGTCGATCTTTTTTTTCTTTAACGTGATAGGCATTGACACCAGCCATTAGGAAGACTGCCGAACATCTACACTCCTTCATTTTCCCGTCACAGTATACATTCCTTCACTCTACTTTTTGTCAAAAGGTCACCATTCATGTGGGAATCGGGACTCATTCCTCATTTCTGTGGCCCTAGTACCATTAACTACTTACTACAGCTTTATGGATCAACAGTATCCAGTGACTGGTGACAGTTTTGTTATTCCAAATAATTTTTTTTTCTGAATAATTTTTGTATCTAGAGCCGCATGTTATGGTGATGTGATCTTCCCAACTGTTGTGTTGGAATGTGTGTATGAGCTGGCGAAAATATATTGCAGCTGCAGGAAAATTTGGACGGAGGAAGTCTTCATTTCTTACTTGTGTACAATTTTCGTGGATCGGGGAGAGTATGTGATGCGAGTTGACTTCTTGGTGAATGTTGTCGGTCCCTCCGACGCTGGCCGCGGCGGCCGCCACCAGGAGCAGCCTCCACATCTGCAGGGATACATGTAATGACAGGTTAATGAATCAGTAAAAATACTTTACACAAGTGGTGTATGTGCTGCACTTTACTACTGTCCGGCGTGCTGCATTACACAGTATGACTCAACTCGATACTCACTTATGTAGTAGTGGCTGCCATGCTGCCTCTGCTGGACCATTGCTTCCCGGCCCCAGGAAGTCACATCAATAGTGTAAGTACTTAACAGGACCATGCACAGTGCAGCGTGTTCTCGCAAGAGTTTCTAAAGACAAAAACTGTCGCACTAAGGTACCCTAACCTAATCTACCAGAGGACTCAAGTTTTGAAAATTCCACTCATGATAATATTATTATTATCTTAGGAATGTATTATTCCATATCATATCTATATATCTGAATCATATACGATTCATTATCATTTGATCATATTTACTGTATTTACGTCAACATCCTTCATGACCATTAGTAAAGTACACCATTGGGCTTAATGCCTTTACAATATTATAGATGTGATCGCCAGAATCAAGAAAGCTTCCAGGTAATCAAAAATATTGCTGGAACTAAAGTTATAGCTTCCAGTGATGTAATTTCAAAATCCTTAATGAAGAGGCAAATTGTGCTATCAAGTACTATTAATAATCTTTAAATCCACTAGGCAATTTTCTTGTGATATAACTTTATCACAATAATCAGTCTAAATAAGGAAAATGTTCAATTTATAACCATTGCCGGCAGTTCCACTGATGCCGGCGGTGGGGCAGAATCGTCCTGTACGTGATCATTCTTTGTTTACATCCGGAGAGTGCACATGGGTGAAGTGCTGAAGACATTTTCACTCAAACTTATCATAATCTTTAGTGATAGCTCCCTGAATATTGGGAGAGAGTTTGAACCGTATTTAAGGAGGAATTCCTGGTACATATATTCAAAATCAAGAGTGTGGATATCCGCCGGCTAGTGAGGCCCCACCACCACCTCATGTACCAAGTGAGACGCAACAACCTGCACTCCATATCTGAGCAAGCAACTAGAATCATTTACAGCAACGTTGTGAGATCAAAACATCATCATCAAGCTGCCATTTCATCATTAAAATACAGAATCTGGTCTCAGCAAGAGGAACACCATCTGGCTACTGTCTGATAGGCTCCGGTTCTCAATTTCAGGATATGTTATTAATTGTTTTAGAGCGTAGATTGGTCAATTAGCATGCTTTATTACATTAATACTTTCATATATAAATTGAGAGTCGTTAGGCAGCGAGGCAACGCCTCATCATCAGTAAGTTCTGACCTGCTCGTGCACTATCTGAGTTCATGTTGCTGAATATTCATATAATCAGAATTACCATATCCATAAATCTTAAATTATCAGTTAGTTTTTTATTGCATATGATATTTTTTTAATGTAAATTTATATTTACCTTGTGTAATTATACCTTGTGTGCAACAACACAGATATTCCTAGGACTAGGCTAGAGTGTGCATTTAGTTCAGGTCTTTGATCATGAACCTCACCAGAGCTTGCAGTCATAGAGCTGTTTAACCTTATCCATGTAAATTTACATGTTAAATGTGTGGGTGTACCCACAGGTAGTTTGTGTTCTGGAGTTTATGAGCCAGATCAACCTTAAGGGCCCTACCTGCTACAGCCCATTACCAGTATCAAAATCACAGAGGAGTGGACTTACCATCCAGCATAGGAACCTTGCATTCAGCTAAGAGCCTTATTGTTTTGAACTTTATCAACAATTACAATATTATTAATGTTAAATTCATGGTTCTTGTACCAGATGTTTGTTCCTATGTTATTTTCCTCTTCATCTATAATCCTTGTATATTCTCCTGCGCCATGAGCAGAAAACGGGATATTACGTCAATTTTGCGAGTCGCTATCTTTTTCTGGTATGACAGTACTTGGCTTTAGGTAAAGTATACAACAAAATGAGACACGTTATAAAGAGGACAGGTTGCACAGAGAACTTTTCTATGTTCAATAATCCAAAGAAAATACTCGTTTGTGTACTTAATTGTGAGTCGTCTTGTTTTAGAATTTATGTCCATTATGTAGTATGGGGAGCATCACTATACAGCACAGAACAAGTTGGGCTTCATCAGTGCTGGATATAGCAGATAGGTGACAGCCATTACTGGTTCTGATGCTTCATATTATACATTCCAACACCTTGTTAACTTTGTCTCGTGCGATGATATGAATACAACAATGAAGAAGTAACTATGAAAAGAAATCACTAATCTTGGAAAACTATGAAACACCATCAGTGTTGGTGGGTGCACAATATGCAAAATGTCCCGAATACTACTCAGGATGCAAATCCTTTGTAATATTCTTTTATGCACATCCATAATATACGTCTATGCAAAAGTAATATACTTTTATGCAAATACAAGAATAAAAGCACATAATGCGAGCAATATAGGATTTGTAAGGATTCTTTCGAGGGGCAAATGATCGTGAGGACTCAAAGTAAGGCGAGGCTAGATGGCTAGGTAGCAAGACATGTCATCGTCCTGAAAATTGGGACATTCTACAAGGAAGTGCACGAGAGTAAGTGGGACTGTGCAGTGTAGACAATAGGGGGCAAGGTGGTGTTCTGGGGGGGGGGGGGTAATTATTAAGACACAGCTAAGAAAATGAAAAGTGTTCAGTTACATTAAAGCTTAAAGCATTAAAGCTTAACAAAATTGCTTAAAGTCTCCATGAAGAAACTAGCCTCTGGCTGTAGGTGGCACATATAGGTTTGGTTAGTTAAGACAATGGAATAGCTAACACCATTAACAGATACCCATATGTGAATCGAATAGTAGGAGTGTAAGTTTACCCATTTGTTCAAAAAGTTTTCAGACAAAACTCATCAGGACAATGGGGCAAAAATCCTTAGGGAAAGTCCCCTGAGTACTGAGTTTTCGAATGGGAAGAACGACTGCCTCAAACGAGTCCTCGGGGACTGATGTCGCATCCCAAATATTGTTATAAATATTCAGCAAATACTGACAGGCGCACTAAGCGAGATGACAAAGCATTTCATAGGAAATGCCGTCTGACCTCACTGCCGGAGAAGTGCAGTGAGTCAGGGTTGGCAAAAGTTACGAATGGGAGGAGAGATCGTTATGGGCGAGTGCCATAACCCAAGGAACGCAGTTCAATAAAAGGGCAAGAAAAGTAAGAAGAAGACGAGTACCTGAGGTATGGGTTTTAAAGTGCAAACCCAGTTAGTTGGCCACCAACACCGGAACTTCCACGACAAAACCAGAGAGATGAAGGACAGGCGATATATCTGGAACAATAACCTTCGGGTTATTGACAGAGGGGTGTCAACCATAATGGTGGAAATATGAGATTTCCATCGCTAATGTTTAGCTGTATGGATCGCTTAATGGCCTACCAAACTTGCCTTCTGAAACAAAATAAGAGAATCGGGCATCTGTCGGCGTCGGTGACTTTTCCAGGTTGCATGGTTACAACATACAGACTGTGAAGAGTCTGAACTGTGACAGGGACACTTTCGCAAGTCATGGGAGCAATCGAGAGGAACAGAGCGGCAGGAACAGAACACCCAATAAGTTGTAGTGAAAAATAAGGAGGGCTCAAGGGAAAGGCATAGTGGATAGGTTGGGAAGAGTAGCGTGAAGGGAGAAAAGATACCCGTCCACTTTATCAGACTGGTAAACAGGGAAAAAAACAGGAGGGCAGAAAGAAAAAAAAGAGGGTTATGAGTATGGGGAAATGTTCACTATTATCGACGTTATTAAGGTTTTTCTGCGTCAGGCCTATATAAATAGGAGAGAAGACGAAAATCAGTACAGGAAAGAGGTTCAGGTGAGTGAGTCAACATCAGTAGACTTGTAGGAGTGTAGAAGAGACCAAGAAGGAGAAAGGAAGGAATATTCTAATTCTCATCCTCCGGTGTTTGTCAAATCATTGCCCTAGAGGGCACGCTGAGAGTTAAAATCACCTAAGAGGAGCACAGCATTCATGGATTAATTCCAGATATATTTAAGATTGGGAAAAGAAAGTGTAACATGTGGGTGGGCGAGATGAAGGGAATAGAGGTATACCATTACTCACACAGATAATAACGGCTGAGGAATGAACGTTCATCTGAAAAAGCAAGAGAACAATGGCAATATTACTCCAGATCAGGACCTAGATTCACGAAGCTCCATGTATTTCTTCGTAAGTAGGTTTGCTGCGAAGGTTCCTAAGTGCCCGCTAAGAAGGCGCCAAAGAGCGATTCAGAGACGTAAACTTACGAAGATTTCTAAGTAGTTCACTTAGGTCTCGCTAGATGTCACTAGGCTTCTAGTTTGGCCAATCAGAGAGAAGGTAACATTTTTCATCTTACAGCTGTAGCCAATAACGACGCTGCCATATCGGAGCTTATCCGTGATCACTTGAAACATATTTACGTCGAATTTTCTTATAAAATTAGTATATTTCGAAGTAAAACAATGTTTTTTCAACTTGTACAGTCAGCACCGACATTGTAGTATACAAATATGTTACATTTTTTGTTTACCTACGTAATTCTAAGAGATAGTGTATAGCTCCCCTTGTCGCTCCCAGGACTTGAGAAGCGATGGTATCTATTTACGTATTTATTTACCTAAATTTACCCAAGGGCCACTAACTATATAGTGACCTCTACGAGGACAAAAAGCTAGGGGCTTGTTAAGTCTCGCCACTTGTCCTAATGATATTTTCTAGCTGGATTTTGGCAGGTACGGCTTCAGCGGGTAGGCGGTTCCATAGGTTTTAACCATCTGGGTAAAAAAAAATCAGTTTTCAGTCCTACTTGAGAGGACATACTCTCCAACACTATATCTGTGATTGCCCTGTTATCAGTGACTTCATACCAAATGGTATGAGGCACTTTGAGCCATGTAATTACATCATACACTCAGGGATATTGGAAGATATTCTTGTGCTGCACCCAGATTTTGCCAGTGGAGGCTAATAGATCAGCCTTAAGTATTTTGTTCTCTCCTGAT